GCAAGGACTGGAGAAGGACTGCTCTGAAGGCACACGGTTCGGGTCAAAGCTCCGTGGGGTACACCTGTACTACAGTAATACCCTAGAAGTCCAAAGGATGTTTTGGCACCACCGAAGTTATACAAGTAAAAGAAATCAATGTCAATTTCAGGGCATACATAATTTGTCCTCCAAATCTATTTCGTGGTTTGTATCAAGATCTTGTCAGCTGATGCCGTGCCAGGGCCAGTTGGGACAAACACTTCCAGTCATGAGTCATAGGAATTGAACATCAAGAGTTCTCCCACCCAGTCCTTCAACAGCAAATACCTCCAACAACATATTGGGACCATTGATCGGTATTTTCACTCGCTCCTCACCAGTGGCCACCACATAAATACCCCCAATGGCTGGGAAGCTTGGAGATGCACTTCCAGCATCTTCCAGCTCCGGCGAAGAACATGGAAGAACGTTGATGCAAAGGAACACTAGTAATTACAGGCACAACTGGCACTACACAATCCTGAATGAACCAGGATGCATGGAAGTGATGACGCTTCTTGGTGTTTCTTGGTGATGAGCCTCTAGGTGCTTCCAGTTTAACCAAGACAGGTTCAGGAGGGGAATGAACCGTCTTATATGTTAAGTTAAGAGCATCACACAACTCCATCCAACTTCCCAAGTTGTCTTCCTGACCATCCTTCCTTGAAGGAGCAACTCTCGCACTGAGCAGAGAGTATGGTCCATGGTTCCAAAAATGAGTTTGCTACAACTTTGTGGTGGGAAATGGGTAGTATGGCTGATGCCCCGCCTTTCAAAAGAACAATACGACCCAAACCTGCCGATTGTGCTCGTGTATTCTCCTTCGATCATTCTGCAACCCTTTGGTGGAAAAAAAAGAAAACAAAACACCTCTGCTCGTTTCAAAAGCAAAAACACTCCATGTGCGCCCAGGGTTAAGTCCATCTGAACTTGATGGAGATGCTCACATCTGGGGCTTGACCTATGAACCACTTCGAGCACCACAGAACATGGGATTCTGACATCTAATGACCGACCTAAGGAATCGCTTGCCTCCTGACCATGGGAAAAAATAAAACGGCACCAAAGCAAGACCTGCCTGGATCGAGGTCAAGATGGCAGAAATGTCGTAGATGGGGCTCCATTGATTCTGCGGGCGGGCGGTCGAACCGTTCTCGAACGATCCACACGAGGTCTCCGGTCTCCGGTGTCAAACACAGATGTCGAAGCACGGTGGCTTCTGCACCGTGACCGCACCGTAGATTCCACACAAGGTCAGAGAAGGGTATTATCCCTAGGGCTCCAACTACCTCCTGAGAAGATGGTTGGGGTGGGTTTTGGGGGTCTAACGGTCTAACCACCTTCTGAGGATATGGTTGGAGCCCTAGGGTATAACGGTATAACAGTCATAGGTTCTTCTCTCTATAATTAAGCCTTGACACTTGGGGGCCGCCTTGTGATCATTTGGAGCAGTGTCAGGGTCTACAGTATTCCAAAGGGAAGAGGTGATGTGGCATGCGGGTGTCCTTATGACTTCTTTGAGAGTTCAGTCCAAACAAGAAAAGTCTGGTTGAAGGAAGGGCAGAAAAGCTGCCCTTGATAATATACAAGCAAACAGTGGCTCCTTGCTTCTGGTTGGAGGTAAGAACAACCTGCAAGTCGAGGTTCAGGGTTGAGGGTGGAGAACAACCTGGCAAATCCACACGACAAGACTCTGACTCCTGGCTTTGTGCTTGACCACCACAACGGAAACTTTGTTGCATCAATTCCAAAAACTCCTGTCCAAGTCCTTCTTCCCAGACACAAAGAGCAACATGCCATCCTTCTGGACTGGTGATCCGTCAGAGCCCACGCTGCACACACTGCCTTTCCTTTGACCGCGAAACCTCACGGCCAGGCGTCAACCGTGCGTCTCAAGGGGCCAAACCGGTGCTTCGGTGCCCCTACCGACTCCACCGAAAGAAACAACCGGTGGGACCCATGGGGACTGTGGGGACTGGTGGTTTTCGGAATGCGCGTTTCACCTCGTTGAAACGCTCGCGGGCCCTGAGGCTCAGAGACCAAGCGGAGCTTCTCCTGCAGCGTCCGACGCGAAAAGAACATGACTGTCATGACTGATGCAAAAACCAGGGGATCCAGGCAAACCACCAGTGGCTGGTCACCAGTGGCTCAGCCAAGACTTAAAAACATCGACTCAAACCAGCGTTATTCCGCAACCCTGGTTCCATAACATTGTGGTTTCAGTGGGATCCACTGGAGCTGGAATAGGAAGATCGATCTCCTTTGCAGTGGACTGGCCTCCAAGGGGCGCCCCCCAAGAAGCCTCCCAGGTGCAGCCCAAAGGCTCACCTCGTCAGTTGTATTGCCCATGCTCCGGGAAAAGCATGAAACAGAAACAGGGAAACACATGATCCATCTGATCCACTTATTCCATGGTGAAAACAGGGATGTCTGATGTCATGTCTGATGTCATCCCACTTTTGAAGAAACTGTTCTCCTCAAAAACAAAGCTGCATCACCGGAGATTGACAGGACAATACCTCACTGTAGACAGTGAGATTCATGGCGGGGTCAAGGTTTTGTTGAAAAAGAACTCCTCCATCGACAATACCATCCAGAGATATCACTCCCTCGCCTGAGTCTGTCAGGATCTTTATATGCTTCACTGAGGCATAACATCCCCCAGAACCAAATTGCTCAACATTTGGTTCATATCGTCTATCATGTGACTTTGAAAAGTTGTCAGATCTGAACATGATCGCATGCTCAAGGCCAAACTTGGAACACGTGATGCATAGTCTCCTGATGGCTTTCATCGCCCAACAGGCTCGGCACAGGATCTCAAACGCGGACTACTGGAGGAATTGAGGGGTACCTTTCCGATGAGGATGTTGCTGCCAACATCCCCTTTTGGAAGGTGTTGGTTTCCTCGTGCTGACCCCAACACCCACATCATTGATGTTCAAGGTACAGCACCAAGAACACCCTGTTGTAGGGTTCTCCCATGTTCTCCCTCTTTCTGTGAATCAAAAAGCTGTCCAAGGTCCTGGGCATTCTCCTGAAACAATCACGAAAGTGAATGGGATGATGAAGCCCGGAAAGATCATTTGTCAAACACCAGTTTCAGGGGATTGGGCTATCAGATTCTCCACAAAGACACAGCGATTCGGGCAGATTCCTTTTTTTGCCCGCTGGCGACTGGTGCAGAAGCCCGAGTCACTCGCAGTGCGGGTGCACTACCGCGGACAACGGCGGTTGACGCCCGTGGGACCGGCTAAGCGCTTCGGCACCAGGGTCGAAGAACGTCGTCTTCAGCTTGACCTTGCGAGGGAAATGAAACAACCAGCTGGGCATGGCTTTTTGCCCATGCTAATGAGACCAGCACAAGTCAAGTGGAGGAATATCTTAAGTTGGGCTGTTTGCGATGAAGAGGTTGGGAGCAATTCTCTCTATATAAAGATAATATAAGATAATCAAGCCTTCATCGACCAAACGAGACCGCTGGCTAAAATCTCGGGCAAAGGGCGCCTAACGAGGAAAGTTCAATGTTGTTCAACGTCTCAATGCCACGGTCGCCCAATCTTTGCCAAAAAGCACACAGACCGACACTCTGACGAACCCATGCCGTGTGTGTGTTCGCAGGCGTCCCTAAAAGGAAGACGACATTCGGAACAAGGGGTTTTCGCTCCACTTCGGTTCGTCAGAGTGCAGCCACTGTACCAGACTCTCTGCATCGACCGAGTCGGTCTCGACATCCCGGAGCATCACTCGTTGATTTGGGGACAGTGCCACACACCCCACGTACACTTCCTCCAACAAGCATGGAATTCCACGTCCATGACGGAAGTTGCCTCAGAAAATGTGTGTAAAGCTCCTGGGAAGCAAAGGCAGACGGAGCTACTCAACCACACCACACATCGTCCTGCCTTCCATGCCCGACTTGCCTGGCCCCTTTTTGTGCCCTTCCCGCCTCGTCGTCCCGCAGGCCTCTTGGAGATGGCTCGTGGGTGGATCGGTGTCCCTGGCGATCGGCGCAGCGGTACGCAGCAGTAAGCAGCGGGGAGATGTGTCCGCAAGGAACTTTGATGAGCGCCGGGCGTTTGGAAGGTTGGATGCCATTTTCACAAATGCAACCTTCATGGCAAAACATGCTAGAACATCATGATGGTGGAATGGTTGCATTTGAGGATGCGATTCTGGCTCAAGCATCCCAGCAGCACAGAATTCCCGGCATCTTTCAACAGTGGGATATACATTGAAAGGACCTGCAGAGGCACTTTTATTCTGTGGGACGGGTACCTCTTGTCATCACAGTTCAGAGCTGCACTTGAGGCACGCTCTTGAGGCCCATCACCATGTCATTCAGGCTTTCTGTGGATTGGGGTTTGGGTCTGTGGGATACGGTTTAATGTTTGTGGATTGGGGTTTCGGGTTTGTGGACTAGGGTGTTTGAACCCTAATCCACTGTGGTCCACCAGGAAATTCGACCACAAGGTCAAGTAAGGGGGAAACACCTTCTCAGAAAGGATGATTCTTGAACATCGGAATCAGACTTCGCCGAATAAATCAATTGCAGGAAGTATAAGTTCACATAAGTTCCATGTTATCTATTGGCTAGTATATGCATATGATATGGTTGTATATTGTTGCATATGCTGCATATGTATATATACATATAAGCTCAAAATAGATGTACCCTGCATTGGACCAATACTCTAGTTTATCATGTAATAATAAACCTTAATAAACACGGCTTTCCAAGAGGATTGTTGCTAATCAATCTATTTGAGCCTTCCAGCAAGCTGAGGGCAATCGCTTTAACTTCCTCTTCCTTGGATTCCTTCCATTTTCCGAGATGTCCAGCCGCTCCGCAAAGATGTTCCATCCAAGCTCTTTTTTGCATTGGCCAAGCAGATCAAATCCCTGAAAACGGTGAAAGCGAGTCCGCTGCACACGGTCTGCTCAGCACGCGGTCTACGCGGAAGCAGAAGCCGCGCCCTTTAGGCGCTCTCGGAAGGCTCGCCGTCCACCTCGCTGGCGACTTTGGCGTTCTCCCGGAGGGCGGCTGGCTCGTAGAACATCCCGGCAATCAGACAGATACAGAGCCAGAAGATCCCGAGGGGTGTGGCGTGCTTGTCCCAGATCAAAACCTCGGATATATAAACGAGAAGAGAAGAGACCGGTGAGAATGACGTGAAATTGACAGAGACCCTTACGGTGTATTGAGGATTGATGGGCCTTAACCACATGGGATATCATGAGCGCAATGGCTCATCACAAGGTCCCTCTGGGAAGCTAAATCACATGACTCTTCGGTTCAACTTCAGAGTCAGAGGGTGACAGAACACCAGGTAATTGAAGCAAAAGGAAGAATCCTCTTTCAATGGTGTTGATCCGAGTTTTCAGTCAGTCTCTTTTCTTCCAAAACATCAAATACCATGGCCCTAGGATGCCCAAGGTGCATTCAAGAGGACGCTCAAGAACTTGCACATGAGGCCTCAGCGGCTTTGTTTTCGGCACCTGTAATAACACCACGAAAAGAACTCTTTCCTGCTCAACTTCTCTTCCCTGAGAATCTCAGATGGAATTCCTCACAAGCTTCCCTTGTGCGAACCAGGTGGGGATGTTTTTAAAGTTCCAAAGAGCGAGCGAATTCTCCCATCAACAGTTGTTGATAGGAGTGGCCCAAACCGGCATCCAACCCGAAATTTCAAGCCGATTCCAAGCCCCTTATATAACCCTCCCATAACCATGTTTAATTTCTCCCCCACTCCACAACGGAGCCTCTCGTGGAGGATCTGAGGACTACCACTCACTGGCCAGTGGATGCAAGGAAAACCCTGCTGGGGAAAAGACAGAAGCAAGCTTGGGATGCTGGTCCAACTACTGAATCCATTGGTCAAAAAGACTTCACCCCTGCGTCATTCACATCGCTTCGGCCCATCCGAAAGTCCCAAAAACCTCGTGCTGGTTCCAAGCATCCCACCAGCGAATAGGTCGTGGCGGTCAGAAGGCTGGTGCAATTCCAGCCACTCCAGCTAATGCCCACCCCGATCGCTGAGGACACGAACAAGGCCGCAAAGCCAGCCATGCCTGCGGTCCAAGTCCGTGTCCGTCGTGAAGGCAGCGGCTTCGAAACGGACCAAAACCGGAGATGGCTGGTCGGGGGACCGAATACAACCCAGAGGTCTTTTCGGGTGTTGGAACTCCTTTTTGCAGAGGTTTTCTTTGATAGGGGGTCTCCTACTCTAATACACATGAATGTAAATACCAGCTTCTTCAAAGTGACCTTTTGAAGGTTCCTAAGTGACCCTTAGGAGGCTTAAGTGACCTCAAACCAGGTTATCAAAAGGTCACATTGAAGAACCAGGTATATAGTTTTTGGTTTGGAAGGTATTTAGTGCCGCGACTGACCCGGTGACCGTGAGACCCTTGGCCCTGGCTTAGCTTCCCACCATCGAGGAAAGGCTGTTTTTGGGCTCGGCCCTCCAACCGATGACGCGCCAGGCTAAATGCAAAAGAGACACTGGGTTCGTTACTCTGGGCCTTGTTGACTTCGTCATTGAGCAAGCCCAGGAGCACCACTGCGGGGCAGGACATCACGTTGGTGTAGTAGGTCCTGGTTTTTCTGCGCGTTCGTTCAACAGCCCTTGAAGCTAAAGGGTGCCAAAGGCTAAACCAGGACGTCAGGAAAGCTGGGACCCGCTCAGGTTCATCATGAGAGGCTTTTCCACTCAATCAGAATCTTGTGAAAATCAGGGTGTTCCTGTGTCTGGCTGTCTGGCCCTGGCTTCCAGAAAACCCTCCAATTCTAGCCCTCGTACACCCCAGCATTGACTCTTCACGAGGTCTATACCTCTGTATGTCTATGTCTATGTCTACGTCTATAGATGGGAAATAGACCAGTCTACCAGTCTACCCATTGGTTGGAGACCTTGCTACAGTATTCATATACACACCCATATAGATCAATCCTCAGGTCTTGATCAATCCTCCAGTCTCTACATCCCCAAGGCCTTTTCTGAAGACAAGAACGGCATCTTCTTCCGCCTCTTCCTTCAGATCACAGACTGCAAAACCAAGACCCGCAACAACACCTCCCTGACTTGCAGGTCAACTACATTAGTATGGCGTATGGCCTGATGTTTCCCGTTTCAGTTCCCCATCCGTCTCCCCAACCTCTGCCCAACGAACCGTCGATCCGAGCCCGAATGATCCAAGGCGTCAAACCCCACACGGGAGAAGCGAAACTCACTTTGGAGGTGACCGACTTCCCATAGACCATGTTGTAGACAATCAGCAGCAGGTAAATGCCCACCCATGTGTAGGCCTGCAAGTGTTTTTCTAAAACAAAGATCGAAAATGACCAACCAACTGACGACAACTAAAGCAATATGGATAGATCTGCATAGACAGAGGGAAACTGCTTCCAAGTGTCTATGCTTTTTTGGCCCCAGCAGGCATGACATTCATTTCTCTGGAGGAAAGACAACCCTGTCTTGACGTTTTTCTTGCGAAAAAGGAAACAAAAATCCTTCCAGCTTCTGCTGACCTGCAAACCCACCAGCTTCATTTGGCTGTCAGCCAAAACGTAGCCCGTGGCCGCCACCAGAATGGACAGCAAGGCACCAGTGGATTTCCAGCTGGGCAGCTGGCGATTCAGCACGGCCCATTCGATCACACCTTGTTCCGATCGAATCTGAGGATTCCTGTGGAATTCTCAGATCTGGTCGTGTTTTTACGCGCAGAATAACTATACAATTTATACAAGGACTTGTTTTAAAAAGGTTTTAAAAGAACGGTTCGTGTTCGCGTTTTGGATTGTTTGGTTTTTAGTCTCTTAGTGTAAAGCGTTCTAATCTCCACAAGCCAGGCACTAATCAAGAGTGGAGCACAGGAGCGGGCCACGATCACCGTCTCCACATTGGAATGCTCAAGACTTTTGCCATTGGCATATATACTCATGGCAAAGGAGATGGTGTATGGAAACATTAGCTTGATATTGAACCTTAGAGTTGCAGGAAAAGAATGAACCTTGGAGTTGATATTGAACGTTAGAGTTGCAAACCCCCAGATCCCTGCAGGATGTTTGAATGCGGCTGTGGTCGGTTCGTCGGATGCCGACGAGAGAGAACCACAGCACTGACGGGGATTTGGATCTGGGAAGGATTTACGGAGAGCCCGTCTCCATGAGCTGCTCAAACGATCAGGAGCTTGTCCGGACCATGTCCTGGAATGGGTGCTCTATCAATTCTATTGTTCGTGCAACCGTTGATTCGTTTTGGTTATATATATATATATACACATATCATATACCTTGAGATGAAATTGCTACCACCTGCGCTTCTCGGAAAAATGCCCTCCTTCTGGCCGGGGAGTTCCGCCAACTTGGTGCGTCGAGTTTTCCGCCCAGTTTTTCGGCGAACGCGGCACCAGGTGAGATCGTCCACCCGTAGAGAGCACAGGGTCTTCATCATGTAGATCGACACCACTGCGAAGGCCAGCTGGAATGTAAACACCGCGCCAGGGAGGGGTATCCTCAGCAACACCCGGTACCGACCTTGATGTTCGTTCTACTTAAGAAAAGACATGTTGACATACACATACATAGACTCTATCTGGAGGTCCTTGGAGTGGGTAACTGGATGCATCAACTGAGGTGGTTCGATCCTGTGGGTTCTGTTTCTGGAAGTCACCTTGAGAACAGGCAAAACGCCGAATCCCTACCTTCTCGAAGGACATCATTGTCCGCACCGTATGCGGTTTCTTTTGAGGTATCTGACACACAGGAGCGTAGCAATCTAAGGGTTGGAAGGTAAGACCAGCGAGAATGAGATGTCCTTCTTGTGATGTCTTTCTTTGAGATGTCCACACTGTAGCTGCTCTGCTTTCTTTGTCGAAACAACATCACCAACGTTTCGGTCTTTGTCACCAACGTCCCAGGGGTTCAACTGCATGTGGACGCCATCCAAGGCGAGAAGCAATGTGAGCGTGACTTTGTTGGCCACAAGCATCATGCTTGAGCATGTGACATAAGCAGCCACCCCAAAGAACGCAGACGCTGGTAACATTGCTACCAAAGAGCTATGTTAGAAGATATGACTCAAGGAGAGAACATAGATTTTGGTGGTCGAAGTCAGTGGTTAGCTAGTCTTTGCTTTATACAGAACTTGATGCTGGTGTAAAATGGCCCAGTGTCCGAAGGATAGTGGAGCATCTTGAGATAACCCTGTCAAAGGTTCTTGGTGTTCAGTGCACGGGAGACCTTCTCATCTTCAAATCTCTCCCATTGTTTTCCATATGTTTGAATGGTAATGATAGTGGACAACTGTATGAGCCAGCATGGCGACACATGACACCGCCTCACTGGATGAGTAAGTGGACTAAACATGCAGTGCCCTTTTGGAGTGCAGTGGAAAATGATCTCCGGCTTCTGTTTCTGCACATGAGAGTTTGTCTCAAACTGAAGGAGGGGGAGGATGTTCTTTTCTACTGTTTCCCCAGTCTTGCGATGTATCCTACCCTCTGAAATGCTTTTGGAGTATTGACAGCACCCAGACAAAACGAGCCGCACTGTCTTTTGGGGACCTTCTGCGTACGATCCAAACAAAGCCGCAGCTTTGAGGTGTACCGTTGACCATCAGTTTGGTTGTACCCTCCTTTTGATCCGGACTCCGCACCTTTGAATGACTCTACACCTTGCAGAGTGTGTAGATATTCCCATACCAGTTGGTTGACGGATTCTGGGCCAGAACCTTTCTGGCAAACTGGAGACCTGTAGTTGATGACAACCCCTTTCAGGTGATCGTCTGTCCTCTCTTGAGGAGACTTCAAGTCCAACCAACTCTGGACGGTCAAAGTTCAAAGAAGCACTTAACCACCAAAACAAGACACATCGGATGCCGCAAATCCAACACGAAAACCGTGAAGGAACTATGACCAAGCACTTTCTGCCTATATCACAAAAAAGGGAGCAAACCATGTGGGTCAAACATATGTATATAATGTTTGAGCACCTGGTTCTTCCACGTTCGCTTTGAAATCCGGGTATGAGGTCACTTAAGCTGTAACAAGAAGGAATCCTTTAGAGGTCGAAGAAGCTGGCAGAAGAATTCAGATTCAAATCCACATGTGTAGTTGAACCTCTCCTGTTCAAGATGGCTACAAACTGACAATATCTTTGACATTGACACGGGGAAAAACAGAAAGCTTAGTTTTGTCAATTATTATCCCATCACTATGTCCACTCAACAGCAACTAGCAATGTAATGGAAACAAAATAACTCCCAATCAATATCCCACTTTCAAAGTCAATGGCTACTACCTTCTGTGGGGACAACTAATGCCTACTCAAGAAAATTTGCTTAATTTTATGGTGTGGTGTCTAACCCTCTCTCCAGTGTACACTTTACGTCCGCAAACCTGCCTTGTCATGTCATCTGGAGGTTGGCCAGAACCTCGATCGGCCGGTGAAACTGGTGAAAATCAAGTTCACAGTTGGGTGGGGGAAATAAGAAATGTGTCACCTACGACGATGGGCCATTAATGAATTGTTGATTCCAGCAGTTCCAAGTTGTGTTTGCGTGGTCCTTGAAGCTCCTGACTTTGACCTGAACCTGAGGGAACCTGTTGTTTCTTGCAGAAAGAAATCATAGAATCACGGAACTGAAAGTAAACAAAAACCTGAGAAGCTGCAAAACGAAAGCCAGCGCTTCCCTTTCTCGACAACTGCGCGTCGAAGCAATCAAATGAGCTCGCGCAGGCGCTTGCGGCCGCGTGTCAAATCTGCTTCATGTCTTGTTCTGCACACACATAGGTACCCATGCAAAAGCAAAGAATGCACTCTTGCATCACCACCCGCCCCAAAATCACTAAAACATCACCTCCAAAAGTTTACGTACACCTTTCTCGGGCCACCCCCCCGACCCCCGACCGACTTCACACATAGACAATTTCAGCCACATTCACATGAACCAAAAGCCAAACAATGCACCAAAATTCGAGGTGGCCTGGGACCAGAGGCTCGCTGTCCGAAACTATATGTTCAGGCCACCTCAGAAATGAAGATATGCGAAGCAAGGGTCCTGAGGTGTCTCTGTGACAAGGCTTTTGTTAAAACAGACAATTTTTCAAGCTAAATTCAAGGTGGCCTGAGACGAGGGTTTGCTGCCCTAAAACACTCTGTTCAGGCCACCTTAAAAATGAAGGTCTGCGAAGCGAGAGCAGAGGATGCACATTGTCCTTCTGCTGCTTGAATGTGGCCTTTTGTTTACTTAAAGGTTCAAGACCTCCCAGCTGTTTCCACCTCTTCGCTTCCCAGTCTTCCCAGGGTTCATATAGGGAGCCAGGCCATTTTCAGAATCTTCTGGATTTGAGCTGTTCGAGTTCCTATTGAAGGGTATAGTTGGCGAGTGCGTCACCACCCGCTCCAAAAGCATCAAAGCATCAACCCCAGAGTTTACGTATATCTTTCTCGAGCCACACATGCACAGCAAACCACAGCTTTGAAGTCTCATTCGTGCTTTGAACTTGTATAGGTGTGTAAGAGGTATAGCATCATAGCATTTATACGGACCCAGGTAGCTACAATTCTGTTCCCAGGTATCGCGCGCATGAGGCTTCAAAGCTGTGATTTTCAAGCTAAATTCAAGGTGGACTGAGACCAGGGTTTGCTGCCCTAAAGCACTCTGTTCAGGCCACCTTAAAAATGAAGGTCTGCGAAGCGAGAGCAAAGGACTTTCCACCTCCTCGCTTCCCAGTCTTCCCAGGGGTCATATAGGGAGCCAGGCCATTTTCAGAATCTTCTGGATTTGAGCTGTTCGAGTTCCTATTGACGGGTATATGTTGTCGTTGGCGAGTGCGTCACCACCCGCTCCAAAAGCATCAAAGCATCACCTTCCAGAGTTTACATATATCTTTCTCGAGCCACACATGCACAGCAAACCAGAGCTATGAAGTCTCATTCGTGCTTTGAACTGGTATAGGTGTGTAAGAGGTATAGCAACATAGCATTCATACGGACCCACGGTAGCTACAACTCTGTTCCCAGGTATCGCGCGCATGAGGCTTCAAAACTGTGGATTGCTGTGCGTGTGTAGAGGTTATCGAGCGGTTGATGGGAAGGGAACTTGAAGTACTATACCTAGTAGCTGCACTATAGCTACCCTGGGTCTCTATACCTGGCAAGGTGCCAACTACACCTTCCCATTCAGATGATGCAAATGATGCAAATTGCATTTCTTGCATCACCACCCCTCAAAAATCACCTCCAACACAACCTCAAAAAACCTTCCCTCGACGCACCCTCCTCCCCCAGCATGTGCCGAGTTTACGTGTACCCTTTGCGGACCCCCCCAGACCCCCTAACTACTCACTTCGTTCGCCAAACACAACTCCGCTGGCGCCTTCTACGAAGGCTGGCTTTCGTAACAGAGATGAGTCATTTGCAAAGAATCTTTGAGTGATCCAAGAAAGGTGCCATCTTATCGCAGTTTGCTCGACTGCCAGGATCAGCTCCTGGAAACTGGATTCTTGCGAGACACTCCGACCTTGGATCAAACAAAAACTCTAGAGTTGTTGTTTTGTGGACCTCTATGACCATAGTAAACTGGAACCATAGGAAACTGGAACCGTTCCTTCTATCTAGATCTAGAGTTGCTTAGCTTGGAAATGGTTCTTCGTGGAACTGTCCCCGTATACTTGCGGCCACTTTCAACCACCAACTGCCAAGGTGACCTTTAGAATTCAAGAACTTGGAAAAAGGAACTCTTCTCCACCCTCCAGCAGTTCTTTGTAAATCACTCAACCTGGACTCCCAATCGCCCTACATGTTTCCAAACGCAGACGCTCTGGGTACCAACCGGGTGTCCACGCCCAAAGGCTTTGCTCGCCACACCAGCGGAGCTCGCACGCACCGGCGGCTCGATGGGTGGCAGGTTCAGCACTGCATCGCAGCACATGGACTCCTCGGAGCGGGATGACCGACACGTCCGAGGGGCGAACCACAACCAACGCGTTCGAAAAAGGGACCGTGAGGTGTGTGTTGCCTTCCAGGGCGCCATGGCCAATGGAAAAACGGCTATGTAACTGCTCTAACTCACGAGGGAGTGGCAGAGACGTCCCGCAACAAAAGACATGCTGTTGGATTCTTGGAGAACCAGCATCAGTTGATCCAACTGATATTGCGTGGATAATTTGTTCTCGGGTGATTTGCAAGTTGAATCGCTGAACCCGGGACGAAGGATTCGGGGCATTGGTTTACCAATAGGTTTATCTTGGACAAAGGAGCACGATTTTTTTTTGAGGGGGCGAAGCAGACAACCATATGCTCCGGAGGAGTTCGTAGGATCCTGTTGGTTCACTGTTAGTTGCAGCTTGATATTGACCTATGTATAGGAGTTAATTACCTTGCAAACTTTGACATCTCCTGCAACTTCTGCCGCTTAACCGTACAAATAAAGTTGTGTGCCCTTGGGAGGTGTTCGTGCATCACGTGGTGGAAAAGAGACAAAATGAATTGCATTGAAAACAACAAAACAAACAATATTCTGTTCGTTGCGGGAACTACTTGCTCCACAATGCTGGGGGTAGAGGCTTGCCATGCCGTCAATGGGGAGATGAACAAACATAGTCTTGCATGGTCTTTTTGTCGGAGGAAATGTTTGTCTGGTTTCAGACGCTGAAAAATGCTACTGGAGTGGATTTTTCCGGTTGGTTGGCCTCAAGAAGCAAGCCCCTTTCGTTTAGGCTTAAGCATTAGAGCTCTTAAAGGCAGAACAAAGACACACAGATTGACTCTTTTGTAGGGAACAACTTCGCCACTGAAACACCCAAAGTCAGGACAAAGTAGCTCTTGATTCCCTGCCCCCAAGCAGGCCAAGGACAGCACGTGCCGTTGAACCCGTGATTCCAAAAACATCGAACACCGCGGTGAGTTTGCTGCGGTGTTTTTGGCGCCCTTGCATCCACTGAGCTACCCAAGCAAAGAGCTTCTTGGGGTTGATGAACTCAGTGGTAAGGATCAGGAACCTCCCGAGGCGACTGCAACTCAGATGGACCCCTGGGCAGGGCA